CCTGTCTCTAGCTAAATTCATTTGTCCATTGTTCTCAACATTCAGTTGTTCACTCTGGATTCCCTTGATGCTTCTCAAACCACTTCCTTTTCTCCACTGGTAGTATTTAATTACTGGTCACCTACTAACTATATGTCAAACACTGTAACAAGCATTTTGTTTATATTATATCTAAACTTTACAAGGAAGGACTTATTTGCCTGAGGAAAATTAATCAGAGGAAGATGAAACACTTAACTCCAAAAAGTCCACCCTTTTCCAGAACACTTTTCTAAACTCTGCCATTTCATGGCTGAGCTCAAGGCCACCATTCCTAAAGTGTGTTGTTCCTGAAGTTACAACCCAATTTACCAATTTCAAACCTTAAATATGTTGCCAGAATTTTAGCATATACATACCCAAAAGTGAATTTATTCTGAAACTAATGAAACTGAAGCTTCAGGGACACTCAATTGCATGGACTCCTTCCAATACGCCAAACATGATTTTAACTATGTAATGATATAATTTTGTTAAAGTACAGTCCCCAAAACTGAATAAACTCCCAAGTCATAAAATATATACACTTTTTTCCTTGTATATACCTAAGAACTACTGAAACAGGGCCTCAGCTTGCTTTTTATTCCTTAAATGGATACTCTATCCTCTAAAGTCTGTTTCCTCTGGAACCCAAGGCTGGCTAGTTGCTAGCTTCCTAGCTGCTGCTCCACATAAACACATAACTAATTTTTTCTTGTGCAAGTTTAAGATCTAATCATAATTAAAAAAAAAAACAGGATAAATAAGAGGAGTTAAAATTACAAAGAAAAAAATATTGGTTGGGTGAGGTGGCTCATGTCTGTAATCTCAGCACTTTGGGAGGCTAAGGCAGGAGGACTGCTTGAGCCTAGAAGTTTGAGACCAGATGGGGCAACATAGGGAGAAGCCATCTCTACAAAAAATTTGAAATTAGCCAAGTGTGGTTGTGCACACCTGTAGTCCCAGCTACTCAGGAGGCTGAAATAAGAGGATCACTTGAGCCTGGGAGGTTGAGGCTGCAGTGAGATATGATTGTACCACTGCACTCCAGCATGGGTGACAGAGTGAGACCTTGTCTCCAAAAAATTAGTCAATAAGGTAACTAAGAAAAAAAATCTTTCTTGTAGGAGACAGGTTAAAAAGTAAATAATAGTAAAATCTTAAGAGTGTGCCCCAAATTTATCTGCAGATTCAACACAATCACAACCAGAATCCCAGCAGCCTTTTTTGCAGAAACTGACAAGCTGGTCCTAAAACTCGTATGGAAATGGAAAGGATCAGGAACAGCCAAAACAATCTTGAAAAAGAAGAACAAAGTTGGGGAACTCACACTTCCTAATTTCAAACTTATTATACTAAAGTAATCAGGATGGTGTGGTACTGGCATAGATGGAAATATATAATAGATCAATGGAATAGAGTTGAGAGTCCAGAAATAAACTCTTACAGTCAATCAACAAGGGTGCCAACTATTAGTTGAGGAAAAGAATGGTCTTCAATAAACTGTGCTGGAACAACATGCAAAATAATGAAGTTGAACCCCTACCTCACACCATATACAAAAATTAACTGAGAAAAGATTATAGACTTAAATGCAAGAGCTAAAACTATAAAACTCTTAGAAGAAAACATAGGAGTAAATCCTCATGACATTGGACAAGGCAATGGTTTATCAGATATAACACCAGAAGCAAAGAGTACAAAAGAAAAAATAAATCAGGTCTCATCAAAATCAAAACTTTCTGTAACCAGAATATGTAAAGAACTCTTAGTTGAAAATTATAAGGACAACTCTTTTTTTTTTTTTTTTTTGGAGATGGAGTCTTGCTGTGTTGCCCAGGCTGGAGTGCAGTGGTGCAAATTCAGCTCACTCCAGCCTCTGCCTCCCGGGTTCCTGCAATTCTCCTGCCTCAGCCTCGTGGGTAGCTGGCATTACAGGCACATGCCACCATGCCTGGCTAATTTTTCTATTTTTAGTAAAGAGACGCAGTTTCGTCATATTGGAAAGGCTGGTCTCAAACTCCTGACCTCAGGTGATCCACTCGCCTCAGCCTCCCAAAGTGCTGGAATTACAGGTGCCGAGACACCACACTCAATTTTTAACTCAATTTTTAAATTGAGTTAAACACAACTCAATTTTTAAAAATAAGCCAACGATTTGAATAGCCGTTTCTTCAAAGATATAAAATTGGCCAATAAACACATGGAAAGATGTCCAACATCATTAGTCATTAAATGCATACCAAAACCACAACACGATACCACTTCAGCCCCACTAGGATGGCTATAGTAAAAGACAAACAATATCAAATGTCAAGAAGCACATGAAGGTTGGGCAAGGTGGCTCACAACTGTAATCCTGGCACTCTGAGAGGCCGAGGTGAGTGGATCACTTGAGGTCAGGAGTTCGAGACCATCCTGGCCAACATGGTGAAACCCCATCCCTACAAAAATTGGTCAGGGTTGGTGGCAGGTGCCTGGAACCCCAGCTACCCAGCAAGCGAAGGCAGGAGAATCGCTCAAACCCAGGAGGAGGGGGCTACTGTAAGCAGAGATCACACCATCGCACTCTAGCCTGGGTGACAGACTCCGTCTCAAAAAAAAAAAAAAAAAAAAGAAAAAGAAAAAAAAGAAAAAGAATATTGGAGAAACTGGAACCCTCATATATTTACTAATGGGAATGTAAAATGGTACAGTTGCTGTGGAAAACTGTTTGGCTGTACCTCAAAAGTTAAACCTAGAATTAACATAAAACCCAGCAATCCTACTCCTAGGCCCATACCCAAGAGAACTAAAACATATTCACACAAAAAAACTACATTAACGTTCACAGCAGCAGCAGTATGCAAAATAGCCAAGACATAGAAACAAATCCAACTGTCCATCCAATGATAAATGGATAAACAAAATTTGGTATCTCCATACAATGGAATATTATTTAGCCATAAGTACTGAATGGAAGTACGACGTGGATGAACCCTGAAAACATGCTAAATACAAAAGGCCACATATTGTAAGATTTTATATAAAATGTCCACGATAGACAAATCCGTAGACAAAGAATAGATTAGTGGTTACGAGGGACTAGGGGTAGGGAGGAATGGGAAGTGACTGCTAATGATACAAGTGTCTTTGGGGATGATGAAAAGGTTCCAAAATCAATTGTGGTGTTGTACAATCTTGTAAATATGCCAAAAACCACTGAATTGCACATTTTAAAACAGTGAATTTTATTATACATGCATTATCCCAATAAGTCTGTTTTGTTTGTTTTAGACAGAATTTCGCTCTTGTTGCCCAAGCTAGAGTGCAGTGGCACAATCTCTATAACCTCCGCCTCCCGGATTCAAGCAATTCTCCTAACTCAGCCTCCAGAGTAGCTGGGATTACAGGCGTCCACCACTAAGCCGGGCTAATTTTTTGTATTTTTGGTAGAGAAGGGGGTTTCATCACATTGGCCAGGCTGATCTCGAACTCCTGACCTCAAGTGATCACCCGCCTCAGCCTCCCAAATTGCAGGGAGTACAGGTCATGAGCCACTGTGTCCGGCCAATAAACCTGTTTTTAAAAACATCTTATACATGGCTTCTGGCCCCCTGTCTATTAAAATCGTAAAATAACACTCTTGATTCCTGCCCTTTACTTCACTTCTGAGGGCTGGTGTCACCAACCTCTGTGCTTTCCTAACCCATGCTTTGGTAAAAGCTCCAGAAAGTCTTGCCTCCAAAACGGTATTTTACTCAGCACTGGTTACATTTTAGAGAGTTGGCTCAAGCAGGCAGATAAATCTGAGGGCTCTTACTCTGGGTAATACTCACCTCAAGAAGCTCCGCATACATACTGACTTGGTATTTACACTTAAAAATTGTACAGACAATTTTTTACAAGCATAAATTTCATAATTTGCAAATTTTTATTTAAATGTTGGTTATATGAACATATATATCCAGTTTTTTTTTTTTTCCAACTAGACCATAAAATCTCCAAAAAAGGCCCAAGTCTAAAGTCTGCGCCCTAATACTGCCCCAGTGCCCTGCACAATGTCCCATGTGGTCCTTTGTTTCAAGGGCAGATGATACCCTGTAACATAATTGTGGGAATTACATTCCAGTTCCATCACTTACTTAACTTTGTGACTTTGGGCAAGTTGCTTAAATTGTGTGTCTCAGTTTACTCATTCCTAAAATAGGGCTAGCAATACCTGCCCGTTGGTATTTAGCAAAAACAAAAAAAAAAACAAAGTAATGTTGGTGACACGCTGAACACAGCATCTAGCACACAGAGATTTGAGGCAGTCATTGTCTGCATATACTGATGGAGTCAAATCTTTTTCTTCCCATATTTTGCATTTTGACTGTTATTTGCCCTCTCAATCAGCGGCTTCCTCATCTGCAAAATTCTATGCCAAAAGATCTTTGAGAGAATTGAAAGAAAGAAAAAGCCTACAACTCCTATCACACAGCAGGGGCTCAAACAAAAACAAAAACAAAAACGACCCTTTCTTTTCCATCTCCACCACTAAGGCGATTTCTTTAGCAACAACCTACAGCCCCCTCGTGCACCCAGCTGAAACGCCATCAACATCGCCGAACAGCTTCTACACCTATCTGTGGACACAAGTAATGTCTCTAAGAACGCCAACCGTAGCTCCACGTCAGGGAGCCATTTTTCCAGCCAAGAAAATGAAAAGGCGTGCAAGTACGATCTAACGAGTAAAATACCCCTGCCGGCGATCATCGATGCCCCCTTCCCACGCCGCCAGCGACCCAGCACAAAGACCGCAGTCAACACCGGCAAAGACCTTTCATTTCTCACCTCACCCGTCCAGCTGGAGGGGACGTGGCGTGGACAGCCATACAAGGGGGAGGTGTGGGTGGTCGGGGGGCGAAGGGCCCAAGACCCGGCAGCGGCGGGGGAGAGCCGAGCAGCCTGGGGAAGCTCCGCACCCGGCGGTGTCGTCTGAGGGAGGGGTCGAGCCTTACCTTCGCCCGCTTGCGCCTGCTAGTCCGACGCCCCTCCGGAGTCTCTGCTATTCCAGTTTCCATGGGGGTCGCAGACCCAGGCACGACGGTAGGCCCGGCCTGAGGCCCTGCGGACCCCGGCGGTTCGGCCAGGCCCCCGGGAGGCGAGGCCCGCGGGGGCTCTTTCTTGCGGGGCGTACGCTCCCCGGCCGCCCCCGGCCCGACCTCGCCTGGGCCAGACAGGCCCGCGGGCGGCGCGGCCACCTCAGAGCCGTTCTCTGCACCGCCCGCAGCCCCGGGGCCAGCCTCCGTCCCGGCCGCCGCCGCTGCAGCCGCTGCCGCTGCGGCTGCCGCCTTCTTCCCAGACAACATCTCGGGCCGCCGGGCCGCCGACGGCCGTAGGGGCCGCTCAGTCTGTCGCTCCGTGGGTCCGAACCGCCTCGACTCGCCTCGCTTCACGTCGCCCGCGCGCCGCCAACCGCCGTCGCGTACGCAAGCGCTAAGCGCGCTCCCGCCGCGCCGGGACAAAAAGGGCCGGAGACGCCCACGAGCCCCGCCCCTCCCACGCAGCCATAGAGCAGCGTTCTCGCAGCTAGAGCGGCACCGCAGCCAAGAATGTGTAGCTTGCCTAGAGCGTCTCCCCGGCTGTTGGAACGGGACCTGGCACAGTCCCTGGTCTTAGGGCTTCTGGGCCAGACTAAACCTCCGAAGGTGACCATTTCCTCTAGGGACTTGCGGGTTTGCGTGCGTGCGTTTGTTCATTCACTCATCCAACTTTTCGTTAATTCAACCAGTATCTATTAATGCTTGCCTACTACGTAACAAGGGTTACATTATGAAGTTCTTGCTTTCAAAGAACTTACAATCTAATGGAGGAAAACAAATAATGCTGATAGGACGTCTTATTTATTCATAACTGTCCTGCTTGGACTGGGCAAAAAGCTTGGAGAGCACAGCAGTTTCAATGGTAATCAAATGGAGAGAAGTTAGGAAATCCATGTTTGAGTCCAGACGGAATTGGTCTTGTCTCCAAGACTTTGTTCATACTCTTCCTTCTGTCTGGCCCCCAACCCCATTCGCATCCCATGTCCACCATACATAATAATTATAAAGGAGAACTAACCTAAAAACCCAGTAAGGGCCAGGCACAGTGGCTTGCATCTGTAATCCCAGCACTTTGGGAAGCCGAGGTGGAAGGATTGCTTGAGCCCAGGAGTTTGAGACCAGCCTGACCGATGTGTCGAAACCCTGTATCTACTAAAATTACAAAAATTAGGCAGGTGTGGTGGTGCTTGCCTGTAATCCCAAATACTCAGGAGGCTGAGGCAGGAGAATCGCTTGAACCTGGAAGGCGAAGGTTGTAGTGAGCCAAGATCACACCACTGCACTCCAGCCTGGGCAACAGAGCAAGAATCCGTCTCAAAAAAGAAAA